CAACTCTACACTCAAATCGTAACCAAACACATAAAATAAAACTCAATTAATAAATTATTTTCAAACCTCATAACCAAATACATAACTTGAAACTCTATACTATTTTCAAAACTATACACTCAAATTGTAACCAAATAAATAACAAAAAAAAAATTAAAATATTTAAAAATATATTTATAAAATAAAACATATATATTTAAAATTACAAAATAAAAAATGTTTAAAATAAAAAAAAATTAAATAAAATTATATATTAAAATTAAAATTAAATCAAACGGATTGCTTCAAGTTTTTTCAGATGCATGTACTTGGGTTTTTTTCAATTTTGTTTTTGGATTTTGCTTGTGCTAATTTACTTAGGCTTTGTTTGGATTTTAGAATTGGCCAAGTGTTAATGGTTGCTAATATTCGGAGTTTATCCTTGTCAGGATTGATTCAAAACGAAATGGAATGCAATGGGCAATTGTTATTTCTTAATTTTCTTATAGAATAATGATTTTCTTGCAATTTTTTTTTAGTTAATCACAGCTCATTTGGTAACACTATAAATAAACTATTTATATTACGTTACTTTTCTATTTTTTTTGCATGTCTTTTTATAATAAACCCAAAAAATCAGTTTATAAATCATTCCTAAAACAACCCAATGTGAAATGTTTATTTCATTTCACTTATTTACAGTGAACCAAACAGCAGATCATAAGGTAGGTTTGACTGGTATTATAGTGATAGGAAATGCATAAAATAGATTTTTTCATTTATGTGTGTATGTTTAGTAATAGTATTGGAAAGTTGATATTTTTTTACAATTATCTTAAACTTCTAAACAGATTTTTTCTACGCCAACTATGTTTAAAGATTTGTTACTTGCAATCTAAAATTAAAAAAAAAAAAAAAAAAAAAAAAATACTTAGGTAGGTTTTTTTTTTTTTTTCTCGAGAAAGTGGTTTACAATTGTTATATTTTGTAAATTTTTACCTCAAGTGAATGCACGATTTTTTTTCCCCCAGCTTTAAGTTTTTCAACTTAGAAAGTTAAAATTTTCAATTATTTTTTCATGAAATTTACATTCTAATAAAATGAAATTTTTTTTCCCTGTTATTGTTACATCTTCTACTATTTTTACTTTTCTTCATAAAATTCTTTTTATACCAATGATTGTAAAGCAAAATTTATTTTTTTGCTTGGTTTTTTTTTGGTAAATTAGGAGCGCCACTTGCTAGTAGTTATAGCCTGCCAAAGGAAAGTGCATTTGTAATTTGTTAAATTATAATTGTATTATAGCGAAAGTATATAAAATGAAGATAAAATATTAGATATAACAGCGATATTATATGGTGTTATTACCATCTTATAAACAATTTCATTTTGTGATAGGGATTATTACAATATGGTTAAGTAAGAAAAGACAAGACTCATTCACCTTATTTGTAATTTTTTATTAATTAGTGATATCAAATAAGATAATATCATTGTTACATTTAATGTTTATTCTTGGAACAATATTTGTTATGATGGTTTTTAATCATATTCCGATCCCTTATGCTGATGAAATATAAGTTTTAACAAGTCCTAACTATAGAAACAAGAACGGTTAGTAGTTAGAGACTTTAGTCGTTACACACTAGGTCTAAGTGTAATTCCATCCTCCCTCCTCTTCTCCTTTTTCAATATGTAACAGTTTCTTGCATTTCTTAATAATAATATTAATAATCCATCTTCATGCATTCAATTGGGCATGTACTATAGGATTTTTCTTCTTCTTTGAGCATAGATTAAGATCATAATTTCTAAGCACCATGCTAACATTCATATCCTAAAAATGCCAAGACATATGCAATCAGCTCAATAATTCAATAAATAATTTAATTCTTAAAATATTTTTGAATATTGTGGATGATGTTTAATCATTAATCGTGTGCATTTAGAGCAAACTTACTATAGTATTCTTATTTATACCATTGTACGTCATCACTTGTCTCACTCTCATAATATAATAGTAATGGTTACAGAAAAATATATACAAAAATAATTCAAAATATCACACAGTAGACCAAGCCAAAAATTACTTTTCATTAAATCATTCCAACTTGAAACATATTTCATACAATACCGTGCAAATTATTAAAATATTCATTCACCATTTTGTTTACATGATAAAATTAATCCCTAAAATTTTCTAACTTACCAAAAATATTATTCTAAAAATATCACGCCTACTAAAATGCACACCGCTTAACACATTTTCTAAAAATCCTTCATCTTTCAAAACTCTTAACTGTTAAATTTTTACTGTTAAAGTCAAACTCTCTCTTAGTGTTAACTATTTAACTCAAGTTTCCTCGATAAAACTCTACTATCGATTTCTATCACAATCCACCTCTCTGTCGTTGATATCTCCGCCATCGATCTCCCTCATAACTCATCCCATCGTTGACCTCTCTCCGCCTTCAATCTCTCTACCGTTTTGTTCCAGCTCATCTCATCGTTGATCTCTCTTTGCCGTTTCGGACACGTATTTTCGAACAAATTACCCGTAGGTTTGGATATGAATAACTGAAATAGCCCACCAACACTAGCCCACCAACATCAGCCCAATAGTCAAAAGTCTCCCTAGTTGTGGATTGTCGATGCAATCCAACCCAATTAATATTCATTTTAGCATTCATTTTCGATTCAGATCGGATTCAAAGCCTCAAGCTGGATATACACATGTATGTATATATATATATATCTATATGCTCATACAGCAGCCAGGCATATAGTTTAGGTAGGGGTTTTAATTTACTTTTCTCTCGGTAGCAGTGCACAAGGATTTGTTCAATTTTCTCAAGAAAAATTTTTTTCATGGAAAATCCACTGCAAATCTAACATAACATCGAAGGAAAGTGGTAATCATCGTTTTGTTAATCAGTAGTCGATAAGAAGATCCGAAAAAGAGATGCAGGGGAAGGTGGAGGGCGGCGTGAAATCGTCGTCCCAATGCGGGTTGAAGTCAGATCTGTCATCGAATAACACCAGCTTCTTCTCCTCCTCCTTGTCTCTGAAATCCCTGAAGCTGAAGACGAAGCAGCAGGCTCTCCTGATTCGAGTCACAATCCTCGGCCTCGTCTACGTCCTCGCCTTCATCAGTCGCCTCTTCAGCGTCCTCCGCTACGAGAGCATGATCCACGAGTTCGATCCCTACTTCAATTACAGGACCACTCTGTTCCTGACCGAGAAGGGCTTTTACGAGTTCTGGAACTGGTTCGATTCCGAGAGCTGGTACCCTCTAGGTCGCATCATCGGCGGCACTCTCTACCCGGGTCTCATGGTCACTGCCGCTCTAATCTACTGGGCTATCAAGTTCCTCCGATTCTCCGTCCATATCCGCGAGGTCTGTGTCTTGACTGCCCCTTTTTTCGCTTCCAACACCACTATCGTCGCTTACTTGTTTGGGAAAGAGCTATGGGACTCTGGTGCTGGCCTCGTCGCCGCCGCACTCATCGCCATTTGCCCTGGTTACATCTCCAGGTCCGTTGCTGGCTCTTATGATAATGAGGGCGTTGCCATTTTCGCTTTGTTGTTGACTTTCTATCTTTTTGTTAAGGCCGTCAATACCGGCTCCCTTGCTTGGGCTCTGGCCTCTGCATTTGGATACTTCTATATGGTTTCGGCCTGGGGCGGTTATGTTTTCATAATTAATCTCATTCCGCTCTATGTATTGGTTCTCTTGATCACTGGGAGGTATTCCATGAGGTTGTATATTGCCTATAATTGTATGTATGTGCTTGGAATGTTGCTGGCTATGCAAATTCGCTTTGTGGGTTTTCAGCATGTGCAGTCTGGAGAGCATATGGCTGCAATGGGCGTGTTTTTCTTGATGCAGGTATTAATTGCTGCTGTCCCATTTATGTGTTGTTGTTATGTGCTCGCTCACCAAGTTTAGTTCTTTTTTATGTGTTCCTGTCATTCTTAATTGCATTTTTAGGGGAGATATCATGGGGTGAATTCGATATGTATTTTCGGATGAGTAAGAGATGTTGTGTAGGAGATAGTCTGCAAGTTAGTGCTCATTTGTTTTCCCATTTTCTTGCTTCAGCTTGTCATTTTCACTATTCTTATGATGTTTTCAATTTTATATTTTTATTTTGTTTGATCGGCAACTTTAACTTTATTTTTACAATTTGGAAGGATGATCCTTTCTGCTTCATCTGTACACTTGCAATGACATCATGTGCGCCTTGTTCCTGGGTAGTTTGATGTCTCCACTCCACCTATTGTTTTCATGTATTACTTCTATGCATTTATTTATTGTTCAAAAAGTTTGCAGTTTCCTTTCACTGCACCAAAAGTTGTCATTTGTCAATCTTGTACTTGACAATGTATCGTTTTTACCATTGTTAGATACGTATCGTTATCAATACATTTCGGCATATGGTTTCAAGGTTATTATTATAATTTTATCTATTTATAAGCATGCTTATATTTATATATAAATTTTAATGTGCATAATATAACAATTTTTAGTTTATAAATATTTAGATTTTGATTAAAAAATTTCATTAAAGTAATCAAATCAATTAGACCAAGAGTAGGAATGGCAACAGAGTAGGGCTGGGCTATGTTTTACACTCCTTGTCCCCGATCCCCTATTTTGAATTGTTCCACGTCGCCGTTTATGATCCTAGACGAGGTTCATTTTTTCCCGATGCATATAGCCTTGTCCCATCTTGTTTCTTATATAAAAAATAATATAGCAATTTTTTGTAAATATACCTTTGGATGCACCAAAATTAAACTTTGGAAACAATTTGCTAATTCTTAGTTTTTAATTGTACAAATATATATGCATACATGAAGATTAAACTTTGGAAACACCCATTGTCTAAAGAAAAACAATATAAAAATGATTAAATTACAATTCGTGACATGTATATACCAAAAGAAGTTTGAAAATGAAATCAAATGGGAAATACTTAATTGTTAATTACAAGTCTACCAAGTAAACCTGAACATAGGTAAAACCACACTACCAGAGTCCATAGAACATCAGAATTACAGAAACAACAACAAACAGCAGCAACTTCCAAAAAAACAAAAAACTCCAGCAACAGGCAACAAATAGCAGCACAACTTTATTTTATTCTCCAACTTTCTTTCCTGTTAAATAAAATGGGGGAAAAAAAAGGGGGGGAAATGTCATATCAGGGGGATTTTAGAAAAATAATTACAAATTAGTGAGAAACTTTATATTTATATATATTAATAATTAAAGTTGTAAGCTTTTTCATGTATATGTATTTTTTTTTTGTTTCTAACGCATTGGGGTGTAATATCCCCCCCCCCCCCCCCCAAAAAAAAAAAAAAAAAAAAAAAAACTATTTAGTTCTATTACTTACATGTAAGAACTGTAAAAAAATGCTTAAAGATGTGAGAAATGATGCCATTTACCATGACTGACTCACAACTCATCCAAGTTCATATCATCGCATATAGTGGTGTAGCCTACCTATTCCAATGTTGAATTACCTAAAAAGACAAAATACAAAATACATATTGAAATTATTTTATGTTGAGTTACTTGAGTACCTTTCATATTTGTAACCGACTACCAATTTTATGCACATATTAATGTTTTTAATGTCTTTTGAGGGAGTCTACTATGATGTGCGCTCACAAACCTACCACTAGTGTTACATGTAGACTCAAAGGTGATTGTGGATGCAAGAATAACTAAAATATTCCTGGCTATTGCATGTAGGGTTGGATATTTTGCTACATTGGATTTCCACCAAGTCGGATTAGATTTCCACTAGGTCAACACGATCCTCCAATTTAATATTCACATTTTAGGGTAATTCAAACCACAATACTATAGAGTAATTCCCAACTCCCAAGTCCCAACTGAAAGAAAAAACATACCCAAAAAAAAAAAAAAACGAAAAAAAGAAGAGAGAAAAAGAATCACAAACAAAATATAAACTTTTGACTTGCATAAGAATAAGGATCTCAAACTAGACCCTTTAATTCTAATATATATATATGTATGCAAAACAAAATGAGAGGATTAGATATAGTCATAAAAAAGAAACAATACAGAGAGGCGGGTTTGGAAGAGAAAAGATCAGAGAAGGGAGACAGGAAATTGGAGGAGAGAATGCATACATACCTTAGGGAGAAAAGGGTAGGGAGTTGCTACAGGGTGATGTCCTCACTCCTTAGTTTACAAAAGAGTGATTCTAAGAAATTAGAAAGAGAGAGAAAAACGAGAATCTGAGATAGATCAAAAGAGAGAGCTCAGAGAAGTGGAACACTTACCAGAAACAAGATGGCTGGAATCGTGGTCTCCACCAGAGACCTCCACTGTCATCGAGAGAGTGAGAGGCTCAATGACATTGTCGATTCTTTGTATTTTCGAATGAAACATATATGTGAGAGATAGACATTGGGAGTGAGACAAGTCTGAAACTAACTCTATTATACATACATACATATATATAGAGAATGGTATATATGTAATTTCCTTTAATTGGGCTACAAAGCGGTGTAGGGATGTGGGGCGGGGCAGTGGTGGCTACAACTGTTCTTGGCCCCAAACAAAACTAATTCCATCCCTGACTGTGTAAGGGAGAAAATGGCAGGAAACATATTTTCTTCTTCCATAAATATATGCACATTAAACTAATCTCCACCATTTAAGTTCTTGGCAAATAAAAGGCACATCTGACACCAAAGTAGGCCTGAAGTGTTGGCATGTACTCTAAAATCTAAACTCTCTGCGCTTTGGAAAACGGTTTTCTTCACCAATTGTTTCTCTCTGCAGATGGATGCACATGTGTGTAGTACCATTTCTCACCATTTAGTTTTCTCTCTTTCGATCTATATGCATAGGAACGACCTCCCTCTCTCTTTCTCTCTGGTTTTTCACTTGCCTATTTCTGCCATCAATTTTTTTTTATTTTTTTTAATCTCTCTCTCTAAATTCTTACATAATTAGATATATGTATATATATACATTATGTATCTGTCCCTGAAGATCTTTTGCTTTTATCAATCTTGCTTGTGCTTTGATTTGGGGTTTGTGGAGAAGAGGAGCATCAGGTTATGATCTGAAGATAACCTGTTTTTTTTCTTCCTCCTCTCTCTCTCTCTCTCTCTCTCTTGAAGATAACATGAACAGATGAGCATGGAAACTGTCAACCGGACTAACTTGAATATTTTGTGCAGGTGTTTTACTTCTTGGATTGGGTCAAGCACCTTTTGAATGATCCAAAACTGTTCCAAGCCTTTCTGAGGATCACTGTGACCTTTGCAGTAGGTGTGGGTGCAGTTGCTCTGGGAGTCGGCACAGCATCTGGGTATATCTCTCCATGGACTGGTCGATTTTACTCTCTACTGGATCCAACTTATGCCAAAGATCACATACCTATTATTGCATCTGTATCTGAGCATCAGCCAACAGCATGGTCATCTTTCATGTTTGATTTCCATATTTTGCTTTTCCTTTTCCCAGCGGGTTTGTATTTTTGCTTCAAGAAGTTGTCAGATGCCACAATATTCATAGTAATGTATGGTCTCACGAGCATGTATTTTGCTGGGGTTATGGTTCGATTAATTCTCGTTGCTACACCTGCAGTATGCCTTATAAGTGCTATTGCAGTCTCTGCCACTATAAAGAATTTAACTCAGTTGGTCAGGGCAAAGAGCAAGGTTGCTCATTCTGGTGCTGGCAAGGGAACTTCTAGTGCAAAGGCTTCTTCTAAGGTGAGGTTTATATTGCTGCATTTAAGTCAGTTCTGATACGAAAATCTCTGTTGTGCAGTATGACCATTGTGCTAGCTTTAATGGAGCTTGCTTTCATGAGTAGCATGGTTTTCTTTCTCAGTTTTATTACTGCCAAGTACCAACAGCCTTTTCTGAAGAATGGTGTGTTTACATAATGATTTCAAGGAGCATTGTAGTCACATACAAGGAGTCAACTGAAAATAATCTCATTTTTCGTTCTTTAGCTGCATTTTTATATTGGTATATGAGGTATTAAAAATGTAAGTACTGTGCAACTAACAAACCTCCCTTTTTAATTATTATTATTTTCTGAATGAGTATTATGCTACTGGAAACATAGTTTTGTCATTTTATATACCGACTCCATTTGGCTTGTAGATGGTCATACCAGGGGAATTTTTATTTTTAGAATGAGCTAGACATTAAGAGGAGATAGATAAGATCCCTGAAGGTAATCTAACAGGCATCATGAAACCTACCCTATTTTTACACTAATGACTAAACTATCAGCCAAGACAAATATGGAGACATAATAAAATAATATTATGCAGAAGACCCTATATGAGTAAAAGCTTATCACCTTGGCTATTTCCTGAAAGAATTGGAATATATTTTTTGTACAACAATAATTTGTGGAAGTACTTTAATATTTTTTTTTTCTTCTGGTCGCAATTCTGGGATATAAAAAATTGCATATTTTTCTTTCTAAATTTGTTTCATTCAGGTTGGTCGTTGGTCAAGTAAAGTGGTCCTAGTTGTCCCATGCACACATTCAATGTCTTAGGCTTTGTTAGACTCTTTGCATGTACTATTTTTTCATGTAGATACTTTACTACGAGATTCTATGTTCTGTTTGGCATGAAGTACAAGTTCCATTGTTGTTGATTATAGATCGTTTTGTCTGAGTATAGCTCATACTTTTTATTGAATGTTGAAACATATCTTTTTATTGTCGAATGCTGATCATGTCATCCTTTTTACATCATCAATGTTTATATTCTACTTTCTTAATTCTGTTTGTATAGCTTGGAGATATTGGAAACACAGTTTAAGATCATTGGCCAGTCTACATGGCCACTACTAGGAGTAGCTTTTTTCTTTGTATAATCAACTATATTTATTAATAGACAATCTGCTGATGAATCCTGAAAGAGATAGCACCATGTAGTTAATTTGTTCCTGTCTCGTCAATGCTATCTGAAGAATTTTCATATTAATATATATTCTGTTGGTTTTTCTGTGAGAAAATCAAAACGTTGTACTCATGATTTATTGCACAAACAGGCTTCGCTTGATCAATCTCTGCCTTTCCAGAGAAACAGTGCTATTGCACTGCTTCTTGGTGCTTTCTACTTGCTCAGTAGATATGCTACCCACTGCACTTGGGTCACTTCAGAGGCATATTCATCTCCCTCAATTGTCTTAGCTGCAAGGGGTGCACATGGTAACAGGGTCATTTTTGATGATTACCGCGAAGCATACTTCTGGCTTCAGCAGAATACTCCTCCAGATGCTAAGGTGATGTCTTGGTGGGATTATGGGTACCAGATCACTGCCATGGGAAACAGAACTGTGATTGTAGACAACAACACCTGGAACAATACACACATTGCTACTGTTGGACGGGCAATGTCATCTTATGAAGACGAAGCATACGAAATAATGAGATCACTGGATGTGGATTATGTTCTAGTTGTATTTGGAGGTGTTACTGGTTATTCTTCTGATGATATTAACAAGTAAGGATTTGATCATTTGCTGAAAAATGGCTTAAAGAAATTGTATTCTAACCTTGTTATACGATATCTTTTTTTGAACCATGCCTTCTTTTTGTAGTAATAAAAACACTGAATGGTTATTTTTTTAAATTTTTTTTTTTTAATTTAATAATTTAACTTTTAGATGCAAAAGCTATGCCATTTAATATTATATTGGTAACTATTGCTGATTACGGTTGTGTTCCCTTCTCCCTGTCTCCCTTATTGCTTGGTATAGTGAAGTGTTTCCATATATAAATCAACAGATGGTATAAAATTTGATCTGTTTGCAGAGTATCAAATAAGATACGAGACCTGCCTGTAGCATAGGTTACTGAGTATTTGCAAATAAGATCCAAGACCATCTGATGCTTCTGCTGGATAAGCTGGCTGCTTATTAGGGTCATAACAATAGTCTACTTATGGTGACTGGATCATCATACATTTGTTATTTGCCACTAGGCCACTTAATTGAGGCAAGTAAGGTGGCTATCCTATCTACAAACACAATAATTTCTGAATGCAATATAGTATCCATGCTTCTATTTATATACATTTAGTACCGCACCAATTTTGTCATCCGAATTCTATTAGAGGTATTTATAGGCTGTCTTATTTGTGGGTCCTCATACATAGCAGACTTGACCTGGCGTTCCCTCTGCTTTCTTCATTAACTAAAATTATTCATGCTTTACTAGATTTTTGTGGATGGTGAGAATTGGAGGTGGAGTTTTTCCTGTCATCAAGGAACCTGATTACCTTGTCAATGGCGAGTATCGTGTCGACAAAGGGGCAGCTCCAAAGATGTTGAACTGTCTAATGTAAGTTGCTGTAAACTACTGAGCAAGTTGCATGTATGTTGTATCAAGCATGCACATATTAACTATATTTATTTGTGGTATGATTTTGCTTTTATCACTGTGTTCCAATAATTGTGAGCTAGAGTTAGGAGAATCGCGTATGATCCTGTCATCTTGCGGAATAATTTGCCAAAATATAGCATGGGGTTATATCTATATATAATTTTAATATTTCAAGTGTCATTTAGTCATGTTGTATTTAATGGACCTTGTTTCTTCTCAATCCTAGTTTTTCCGGAATGGCACTTGTTGTATTGAAAAATGCACATCTTCTCCCTAAATTTGATATTACCAAAAAGAAAAATGCATGTCTTGCATTCTTCACATATGGTTTAAAAATAACCACCTACATGCAGGCATGTATAACTTGTTTTAATATGATGGAAGTTTTGATATGCATTCTATCAGGATTTAGGCATAATTATTGTGGACATAACAACATGATATTTTTTAACCTTTCTGACCTTATCTCTTTTCCCTCTCTCTCTCACCTTTTGTCTATCTCTTTATTTTTTTAATATTTATATATTTTATATTTTATATTTATACATCTTTGATTTAAATCCTATTTTTTATACTTATATATTTTATGTTTTTCTATTTAATTTTTTTTCTTTATAAGTTTATATCTTTTCTATATTTATAATTATTCTAATATATTTTTTAATTTCTTTATTTATTTTTTTACCTTTATAAACATAAATGTAGTGGTTTATATATATATAGAATTAATGTTAGTTTTTATTAATTTTGAATGTTTGGTAACATAATATTAATTTACGTAGCAATATATATAAAAAAAATTTGCCTTGGCCTTGGCCTTGTCCGTGTCAGTGTCCGTGTTTGTGTACGTGCTTCATAGTTGTTTAGATTACATTATTAGAATTTAAGGTACTTCAAGAGTAATTTTCTTTTAACAATTAAACATCGAATAAAATGCTACTTTTCTTTTTCAAATTAATTTGGTTACAATGCATTTTTATGAGCATTATGTCCCATGTTTCTACATTTTGTCATGCCAAAACTTCACTCTCTTTAGATTTTAGTTTATTATATTTGATATGTTTTTTCTTCTGAAATAACTTTCAAGGTTTATACTGGAAAATATATATATATATATATTTTGATAAATATACACTGGAAAATATTTTTGGGATCACTAAATTGATTGTTTTGGAACGAAAAGTATCATGTGTTTGAACATGGGTTCCGCACGTAATCACCACTAGGGTATTAGGTTTTTTGTTTTGGGGGACATTGCCTCGACTAGTCTTCATAGTGGAATCATCTTAGTCTTTTCTCTCTCTCCCTCCACCATTAAAACCCCCCCACACCAAATCACCATCACCACTATTGAAATCCCCCATTATCACCGTAATCAACCCCCTCTCCCTCCTCTCTCCCTGACACCCACACCCACACATTGCAACTCCCTACCACCACCAATACGGCCCACGCCCCATCACCACCAAGTCAATGTACTTGTCTTTGGTTGATAGGGAGGCACCTCTGGCCATGGTGACTCTGGACTGTTGGGGAGATAGCTTCAGATGGGGCTAAGAAGAGCTTGTGGCTGGGGAAACCACCTCCTCTGTGATTAGCTCTCTCTCTTTCTCCTTCTCCCTCTTAACTTTTTGTTTTAAATTTGATTATATAAATTAGATACATATACATCTATAAGAGGCCATATTTGGCTATGCAGATAAGTGACAACAAAAATAAAGACATTCTTGTCCTAGAAACTCAAGTAGTATGTCATGGCTTGCTCATGTTACATGTTTCCCACCCAAAACCCTCACAGATGGCTAACGAAGGGATTTATTTGCCTATTAGTATCATAGTTGATCTTTATTTTATGAAGCACTCATTGATTTTAACATGTTATGCTTTCACATTGATGGTTATTAAAAATTGGGTGGGTGGGTGTACTGTTTCATTCTTGAGGACATTTTAGGCAAAACATTCGACAGTACTATGAGTTCTTTGAAATTGAACTTAAATTAAAATTTCACCTTTTATCCTCTGTTTACTTATTCTGTTATTTACTATATGTTGCATTTAGTGAGGAAAAAGCTTCTTATCCCATTTTGCTGTGGTAATTAGGTACAAGCTGTCTTACTATCGGTTTGGGGAGCTGACAACAGAATATGGCAAGCCTCCTGGGTAAGATTAATATTTACCCTTTTTCTGCTTTTAAGGTTTTGTATGCTGTTGTGCATCTTTATGTACTTTTAGAGAAATTCAAATGACAAGTGCACTTGAATTTCTCTGAAAGTATATCAACCAATGCGTGTTCATTACATGCACATCACATATATGAAAACCTAAATGCAATTGCCTAAAAAATTCCTTAAAATTGTTAAAATTTGAAAGGAAAAAAAAAAGGAAAAAGAAAAAAAGAAGATATGTGGATAGTTGTAGCCATTTACTTCTCTATGGAGTAGCCTAATTGCAATTTAAGGTATGATCTATGTTACATAGATTTCTCTTAATCTATGAAGTACCTACATTTTTTTTTCAAAAAAAAGAAAGGTACCTACATTGGACACTAGGCAGTTGGGTAAGAGCATGAGATATGTGTCCGACATTTAATTGGATATTCACTTAACAAATATATGTAGTTATACATAAAACCCCCATATTATGTATGAAATTTTCTATGACACATTATCCTAGAAAATAAAAGTACACTAAAAAAAATATGAAAACTTAAGCTAATATAATTATGTCAAACTTGTGAAGCTAATGTATTTTCTCCAAACTCTAAGGGTGGTTAGTGTAATATACCCTTTTATGTAAGCGGTTACTCCTTGCCAAAAATACACTTTCTGGTTATATTATATATGTACTTATATTGTTTATAATATTATGACTTTGGAGATGCCTCTTCTGGCTTTGTTTGTCACGGGCACATTATTCTAATGTCTGCCAAAGATGTCACTAAAATTATATAAAAACAAAAAATAAACATTTATTATCTATATTTATATTTTTTTACTTTTTGTGATGGCAGGTATGATCGAGCAAGGGGGGTTGAAATAGGTAATAAAGATGTGAAACTTGAATACTTGGAAGAGGCGTTCACGACATCTAATTGGATAGTTCGGATTTACAAAGTCAAAATGTCTGCCAAAGATGTCACTAAAATTATAAAAACAAAAAATAAACATTTATTATCTATATTTATATTTTTTTACTTTTTGTGATGGCAGGTATGATCGAGCAAGGGGGGTTGAAATAGGTAATAAAGATGTGAAACTTGAATACTTGGAAGAGGCGTTCACGACATCTAATTGGATAGTTCGGATTTACAAAGTCAAACCACCCAATAACAGGTGGTAATTCTCACACAAAAATCTGGCCCCTCTCCTTCTAAGGAAATGGTAGATTTACTTTGAGAGGTTGAGTAATGGATACATTTATAGATAGATCCATATTTTTTTCTGTTGAGTATGTTTTTGTAACAAACAAGGCTTTTACAATTTGCACTTTCTTTTTGAGACTTTTGTAGTGAAGCTTTGACCAAGTCTTGTGGTTTAATAGTTGACAGGATCCTTCCCTGCTTCGAAATAGTTTGCTTTTTATCTTTCTTTCTTTTTTTGTAACCAATATTGGTATGCCATATGGAGACGTGATCTGTTTTCTGGCTGCAAATGTGAGGTGCAGGGCACTTGGGTACATGTTAATTGGGTTTTTGATTTGTACTGCTTTGCATATGATTCTGGCACCTATCTTTGGCTGTGTGATGGTCAGGTTTATGTATGGGTCCTCAAAACAGGGACACATTTATTTACTTTGATGCAAACTTTAGTGGTCCTGCCCTGGTTGAGCTTTGAGCTTGGTATCAGTGAAACATGGCTGTCTTTGTCTTAAGAGTAATGAATTGCTTTGTGGAAGGGAATTTAGGAACCAAAATCTCTGCAGAAACAAATTACCTTTTTTTGAGCCGCCTTTGCCCATTTAGAGTACCCCTTGAATAATTTCTATTGTTCACACATCATTCTTAACTGTCCGTTTGGTATAACAGATAGGAACAGAAATGAAATATAGGTTTTTTTTTTAATTTAATTTTATATTTTTTTAATTTTTTAATTTTTTAATTTTTTTTTTTTATACATAGATAGATAAATGAGTAAAGAAAATAAATGATTGTATTTTTTCACTATAAAACAAAGCATGTAAGAGAATGATATAAATGAAATTTCATTTTTATAATCAACCTCGACTAATGCATATATATATATTTTTTTATCAAATTGGTACTTTTGATAAGAAATGGAATATGTAAATTAAGGGAGGTGTCTCTTTGACAATTTTTATGCTTTTTACCTAATTTATTTATGAATCAAACATCTCTCCAATTTTAAGTAAAAATGTGATTGAAATGAATTGTTGACCCGTCTCATTCGTTAGAACTGGTGCTGATGAAAGGTGGCAGGCACCATGGTATGTAAGAGTGTTAGAGAGTGGAAGATTATTAAAGAGTATATATATATTAAAGAGTAATTGTCTTGGAGGGATCCACTCTAGTTTGTATAATTCCCAGTCCCGTTTATTTATTGTCGGAATAAATATTGAGACTCCCTTTGGTGGGTCACCCCCTTAACTCCTTTATTTTTGATTGGTCAACTTTTCTTTTCTTTTCTTTTTTTTTTTTTTCTCCTCTCCCAATTCTCAACCCCCACTTGTGTGTGGAGGTGATTGGGATTTTAAGGAGATCTGAATCAATGCCCTAGAGAGGGATTGTTCCACCAGGTAATCTCCTTTATCACTAACTTTTAGGGCTTCCCATCCATCTCTTCTAAAGAAGAAACTTTTCGGTAGTTTGATAAAGTTTTTCAAATATGATTTGAGAATAGGAGTTGTTTTTTGAATTTGTGAATTTTAAAATTATAATTTGAACGTAAAAAATTTGTTTAATGAATGAGTTTTGAATTAAATAAGAAATTTTTGATATGACATATGATATTTGATACAAAAATTTACAACTCATAACCAACCACACAACTTAAAAATCTATTAAAAACTCGTAAATTTTTTTAAAAAATTTCAAAAATATTGTTTTATTAAAAATATAAAAAAAAAAGTGCCGATTGCACACAAAAAAAAAAAATGCACTTTTTAGGTCAACTGATGGGATGACTGGTTGGCCAAATTTCAAAATTTAAAAACCCGCTTGGAACGTGTTTTCAAAATGAGGGGTAGAGTTAATTTTTTAAAACTCAAACCAAACATCATAGTAAAATATAAAGGTAAAACTATCATTCCAAAACCCTTCCAAGCACAGCCTTGGGCTCCTCATCCTCCTCCAAATCAAGACAAACAAAAAGGTTCCTTCTGGTGAAATTCCTCCAAGGAGAACAAAACATCTAAGGTTTCAAAGCTAGTTCCTTTTTTTTAAGATGAATTCAAAGCTAGTTCCTTCCTTTGAGGTAGTGTTTTTGTTGCATTAGCTTGAATACAGCTTCTCAAGTCAAGACATAAGTTGTATCTGATCCTGTTGTGCACAATAGACAGACATATAAGACTGTATTTAAGTTAGTAGGGTCCAAGTAAACATCTAGATTCAATTCAATCATGTCTTATCATTTTGTATTTACGTCCTTGGATAGAAAGAATATTTTTCTTAGATGTATGTCTCTGGCCTTTTGTCAAATACCATACATACTAAAAGCATACCAATAGCAACAAATTCAGCTCACCCATCAGAAGCAACTGCAGAAAAATTTACAACTCATAACCAACCACACAACTTAAAAATCTATTAAAAACTGTAATTTTTTTTTAAAAATTTCAAAAATATTGTTTTATTAAAAATATAAAAAAAATAAGTGCCAATTGCACACAAAAAAAAAAAAAAAAAATGCACTGTTTAGGTCAACTGATGGGATGACCGGTAGGCCAAATTTCAAAATTTAAAAACCCGCTTGAAAGGAGTTTTCAAAATGAGGGGTAGAGTTAATTTTCTAAAACTCAAACCAAACATCATAGTAAAATATAAAGGTAAAACTATCATTCCAAAACCCTTCCAAGCACAGCCTTAGGCTCCTCATCCTCATCCAAATCAAGACAAACAAAAAAGGTTCCTTCTGGTGAAATTCCTCCAAGGAGAACAAAACGTCTAAGGTTTCAAAGCTAGTTCCTTTTTTTTAAGATGAATTCAAAGCTAGTTCCTTCCTTTGAGGTAGTGTTTTTGTTGCATTAGCTTGAATACAGCTTCTCAAGTCAAGACATAAGTTGTATCTGATCCTGTTGTGCACAATAGACAGACATATAAGACTGTATTTAAGTTAGTAGGGTCCAAGTAAACATCTAGATTCAATTCAATCATGTCTTATCATTTTGTATTTACGTCCTTGGATAGAAAGAATATTTTTCTTAGATGTATGTCTCTGGCCTTTTGTCAAATACCATACATACTAAAAGCATACCAATAGCAACAAATTCAGCTCACCCATCAGAAGCAACTGCAGAAAGAACATGACGCAAAACTGAGGATATGCAACCCAATCATATATGCACATGAATTCACCATAAAATGATAAAATTACACAAAAAAATTTAGTAATAGAAAATTAAAAACACAAAGCCTTCCACTATTGTTATTATTACCGCCAAGCATTTAAAATTGGACCTATCAAGTACTAATCCTCACTGTATTGGAGAACATCTATTTTCAACATGGTTACAGACTTGAATTCAATCCCTCCCTGCCATCAAAAATAAAATAAAAACAACATTTATTGGCAAGGTATAAGAAATAAACACAAGGTTTTGTACTACTATAAGACACTGTATACAAGGATTACACACACTAAAAAAATAAGTCCATTGCAAAGGCATACACAGATGACATGCATAAACATCACCTCAAAACAACTGATAATGTTCAAGTGCCAGTAAGATTAATACTGGTGTCATATGCCAAGTGGTATTTCGTTGCTTTGTTAACTTAATGTCAGGGGCTCAAATCTGTCTTGTTAACCAAAATAATGCTAATGACATAAGATGTCTTCCAAGCAAATACAGCTAGCTAATACATGTATTTAGCATTCTACTATTGTGCATCAGAGAAACAGTTATGAAATAATACAGTTTTAAAAAGTATCCAGCCAAAATAAGTTTAGTAGTTGAGCACCATTTGGTACACTAAGACATGACCATACCGTGCTTGTGTCTAAATCAAAAATATTTATATAAAAAAAAGGAGGAGGAGAAAGGTGAAGGAGCTAACTCAATCAGAAGGACACAAAGCACTGTTTTTTTGTTTATCCACACAGTGCAACTGGCACTAAACTGTTCACTGTTGTACACATTGGTCATGGCAGTATGCTTATGACTGGAAAAACAACATGAACATAAAAGTTTCAGGCAGAAAACATGCTAGAGCCAGTTTAAATTAAAACATTCAGGTTTGCTAACTAATATTCCAAGGTAACATGAAAAAGGCATTAGAGAAGGGGCTACAAGAGTAGCCTTCAGTACAGCTCCAGCTTTTACCAAAATAAATAACAGTTTATCTATTAAGATTGCAACCAAGACTTAAATACTGCAAATCCTGGCACCACAGTCCCAAACCCACATAAAGGAAGGCTGTACTAGAATCAGCAAAAATCCTTTCCTCAAACCCAACAAACATTAGAAGAATCCAGAACGATGGACCAGAAGATTGATAAGCCAAGAAAGCATTAAGAAACTGATAGTGCATTCTCAAGATGGATGTTAGAAATGATCATTTAGCTACAATATCATGAGCTATCAACCAGCTTCTTGAAATTGATTAATCATACCATGGATTATGCTAACTAAATCACATGGATTAAATACACAATCAGTTTAGTATCACAAATATTTTTTATTTTTCTTTTCTTTCCCTTTTGTGGAATAAATTTAAATTATATGAAAACAAAGGGTAAATTACACCTACACCCACTGAGGTATATCTTTAATACAGATACCTCCATGATGTTTCTGGAAATTACACTGACCTCCCCGTCAGTTTGTTGGATAACACCCTTAACAGAAAAACTAAAATGACTCTTTTACCCTTGTCTTTCATCTTCTTTGGGCTAAAGCATTTTATCAAACATGAAAGAGGCATCACCCCACAACAACAGTCAAGGGATGGCAACGGATTGGGTTTTTTTGGGTTTCGTGCACGAATTCTTGATTTTAAACGCAACTATTTTGGTGATATAATTTCATACTTTATTCGAATTCTGACATTTTTGACCTTCCTACCCCTATAATTTACCCTACCCTATCAATTTCTCCCAAACCTTTCTTATGAAAATCAGGTTCGGACAACTACAATCGGGTCGGGTAATTTTTCCATCCCACGTCCACCATTACCTACACCCACAACCACCGTTGGCCACACTACCTCTACAATCACAGCCATCATTCCCTCACCGACCCA